TGGTGGTGGTGTTCTTGTTCTTGCTTTTGCTCGTGTTATTGTTCTTATTGTTGTTGGTAGCGGCGGCATAGCTGCCCCTGGTGTTTCCCGCGCTTTTGGACCATTCAACTCTGTGTTCCCCAGCTTTTGGTGCCTCCATGCAAAATTGGGTCTTTGCAGTTTTTCTGAGCATAATCGGCATCATCATCATCATCATCATCATCATCATCATCACCGCCCTGCGTAAAACCATCACCACCAGCGTCATCATCATTACCAAACTTACATTATCACAATCATGGTCATCATTATCCTTGCCATCATCATCAAGAGGATTCTTGTCTTCTTATCATCACCACCATCGTCAAGACCATCCAGACGACGCACGTGTCGCGGTCTACCGGGCCAGCGTGGCGACGCACGTACGTGGTCTACTGCGTCATCATGACGATGCGGGCGGGGGGAGGGGGGGCCGGCAAGGGGGGTTCTTGTTTTGTCTGCACTTCAACTTATCCAGTCATGCGCGACTCCGCTTGCAAGCCTGGTAAAACAAAGACTTACAGCCTTCAAGGACAAAACAATCTTGTACTGCTTGGTTGTGTTGCGATTTCCTGTTGCCCTGACTCGCCGGCCTGTCCGGCCGTCGGCCGCGTGGGGGACCATCTCTACAACGGATTTGGCCCGGCGAGGAGGAGGAAGATGCGATCTTTGACTGCAGTTGTTTGGGCGACGACCACGCTCTTCGCGGCCTGCCGTGGGTACCCCCAACAAACCCAGAATTGTCACACCCTCTCCTCCAGGTCAGTATCCAGGGTCGTCAGATGAACCATCGTCCTGACACACGCGAGGCGGACGTGAGGAGGCGGGAGAACGTATTGGTCAATGGCCAGCGTGTGATCCAGATCATATTTGACGCCCTGCGACGTCTCGCTCTAGATCTTTTCCATGGCCTCGGCAATGTCGAAGCGAGGCATCGGCGCCAGGGAGTGGGTCGCAACGCTCGTGCTCGTCCGCGGTATTCCCTTCAGGGGAATTACTGTCTCAGAGTTCTTCGACGAGCGCAAGCCGGATGCGGCGGAGTGGGGCAGGCGTCTTACCACTGCCAACTTCAACCCGAGTGGGGGCACGTTCCTGGGGCGTCGTCTCGCCGAGCATGTTGATCTCAAGGGAGCGGATGGCCGAGACGCGCGCCGAACTGGGCACGGCTTCGTTGTTCTTGATGCACGCCACTGTGATGATGACTTCGGAGAAACCAACCCCATCCAGCAATCTGGTGCCAAAGTACTAGCTGCTGAATGGCCAGGACGTTTCTGGCGGAAGGGGCCAGGGGTAGGCCGCTTCCTGAAGCGTTGGAATGTACTGTGAACCAGTCCTGGTATCCAGGTGCAGGACATGCTCTTGTCGATTTGGCCGGCGTGGCAGGACAAAAGAATCGCAGAAAAAACTGCTTCCAAGAGGCCCAGTCACCTCGTGTATGATGACGGTGGCAGCATCAAGTTCACTCCGTCACTGGCGATTCCACAAACTATTGAAACCGAGAAACAAAATCACTGGTGCAGAAGTAAGCGCCTAGCCAATCCTGACTGAATCAGCGGGGACGCGCTGCAAGAAGGCCAACAGGGTCAAGTTCGAAAAGACCACGCTTCCGCTTGTTGGAAGTCAGGAACATCACCATCCTACAGAGAGCGCCACCTGCAGTCAAAGACTATTTTGGAAGTTCAAGCCTTCAAACGCACCATGGCAGAAACAGCAGTAGGATTCCTCAACTCAACTCGATCAAACCAGGAACTTCACCGCCGCCCCTCAAGCAGATCACCTACAAACGGTTGTCCAGACCCCAACGACTGTTGGACTGTCACCTGTGGATAACACCTCTCGAACTTGCCTTTGGAAGCAGACCTGCAGGTCTTGTTGGGCTCGACGTTGCAACACCAATTCACCTGACTATTGTCAGAACACAGGAAGAGCTTTCGGCAACTCAGGTCAAGCAACTCGCAAAACCAGCCTGCCAGGAAGCCAGACATCTTCGACTGAGTTCAAGGCCGATTCAAGGCCTCTCCATTTTGGTGACAAGCTGTTCTGCTGGCAGGAAGACAAGCCCAGGCTCAGATCAGATGGAAGCAAGGGCGGGTGGTGGTAGCAGCAGTAGTACTAGTAGTAGTTGTAGGAGTAGTAGCAGCAGCAGTAGCGGCATGGGTAGTAGTAGTAGTAGTAGCAGCAGTGGAGCGCTGGTAGCAGCAGCAGCAGTAATAGTACAGTGGCACTATTGTTGTCGTTGTCGCTGTTGCTGTCGCTGCTGCCGCTTTGCGCATGCGTTGTTCCTGTTCTTGCTCTCGTTAATAGTTGTCTTGTTCTTGTTGTCATTGTCGCGCGACTTGTCGCTGTAATTCTCATCGCCATTATCGTTCTTTGTTGTTGTTGCTGCTGCAGCTATTGCAGCTGGCTGCTGTTGCCGTTGGGCGCTGTTGCCGTACATAGCGCGTGTTGCGCGTTGCGTGTTGCTGTTGCTGTTGTAATTGTTGTTGTTGCTGCTGTGCTTTTGCGGTTGTCAGCTGCGGTTGCGGTTCTGGCTGTGGTCGTGGTCGCGGCGTTTTTTGTTATTGATATTGCTATTGGTCTGGATTGCGCTGGTCTTCTTGCTCTTGTTCTTGCGGTTGTTCTTGTAGTTGTTCTTGCATTTGTCGTTGTTCTTGTTCTTGTTATCGTTTTGGTTCTTCTTCTTGGGCTTGATTTTGATAATGATATTGATCATGGTCTGCTTCTTGCGCTTGTTCCTGTGCTTGTTCTTGGCTCCGGTGGAACGTGAATGGGAACACCGCCACCTCCGCCGCCAACAACAACAAGAACAAGAACAAAAACAAAGACAAGAACAACGCCTCAACGGCCGCCGCAGTCCCACGCAGGACCACGAACCGCTCGAAACACTGTGCAAAACATGATTTGGGAGCTTTTCGACGCCAATCTGGGTCAGGCATGCATGAGATGACGACTCTTCTGCGCCACATTTTTGAGCGTGTCGCCTAGACAGAATTGCATGGCGAAAACACTATCGGAGGTTCATGAGTTTGGCACTGCCAAGGCGA